TGGGTAACGGTTGACGAGGTCGGCGAGGTTGAAGCGCGGCAGATTTGAGGTGCCTCAGATTCACAGTTGGTCTGTTCATGTCCTGGCTGTAGAGTGGAGATCGGGGCTGGCAGGTCACCTCATACTGTCCGACGAGGACGTGACGTCTGTTGTTCAAGGAACTTGGAAACGCCTCAACACTCTTCAGCATTACAAGGTCAGAACTCGGCCTGCCGGTGCCTCGTCTCTCCTCTCCGGCGTCCTGCTACGCCCTGTCCGGGGCTCTGGCGGAGCGCTGCCGGAGCCTTCTCGCAGCCGCAGATGCCAGTTGTCAGTGCCGTGGGCTGCGCTACCCCGCGGGCACAGCCCCCTGCTGAGCCTGTGCTGGGGGGGAGGTGTGGGGCGGGGGGGGAGAGCCAGTTCCTGACTGGTGGCTGTTGCAACACAGGCGATGCTGCTGGGTCTCTTACTGCCCAGTCTAAACCAGTTGGTAGGTGATGGTGCACTCACCTGCCCAGCAGCTTCCCAGACTGGAAGGAGGGTTTTTGACAACCTTGCACCGACGTGTCACATCTTGCACCGACACGTCACACCTTGCTGCGGCGTGTTCTAGGTGTGAATGACCTCGGCCCCTCGGCGTTATCCTCTTTGTCGCGCTTCGCACATCATTTTTTCAGTTGGCACCAGCAAGTCTCCCGCCGTCAGGAAGGGCAGGGATGGTGCCCCAAAGTCCCTGTGCCTGTCCCCGTTTCTGGCAGTGGCACAGTCTCTCTGGGTCTGCCATTCGCCTGCTGTGCTGCTGGGGAGCGTGGCACGTGTCCTGAATGTTGATTTGGGCTTGTGTGCAGGTGCCTGACGGAGCAACAGTAGCCCTGGTCCCACGCCTGACCAAGCACATCCACCGGGAGAATCAGGATTACATCCCGGGAGAGAGTGAGTGTGATGCCCGGGCTGACAACCGCTGTTACGGCACGTGCCCGTCAGTGGGACAAGTCTCCCGCCACGGCCCCGGGTTGATGCCGCCGTAGAAGGCCGACGGGGTTTGTGCCCCCGTGGGGTTGTCAGGGCACTGAGGGCCTGGGCAGGCGGCGGGGAGAAAAGCAGGGGCGGCAGAAAGCCAGGCTGGGCGTGAAAATGCGGGGCGAGCAGGGTTCTGTGGTTGTGCCTCCCAGGGCGGAGCAGGTCGGC